CACCAGGTCTCAAAGGCCTCTAGAAGATTTCTAGTACCGAGTGTGCCAGCACCTTACTCGTGTATACACGTTGGTGGCCGGACAGACTGTGGTTTGAAAATATATGTAGATACATATATTTTCTAACCCCAGTCTGTCCGGTCACCCACGTCCATACACGAGTAAGGTGCTGGCACACAAGGTCCTAGGAATCTTCTGGAGGCCTTTGGGGGCTGGTGTGTAGCATTGCACTTGGCCAAGTATCCGCCCCCACCAGGCACACGGGGGGAGCATTATCAGGGACTACGGATGGTACCCACCCCAGACATGATAAGAAATACCAAAACATTGAGGGTATAATTTTGTTCGAAAGCACGAATACGGTACAGATGGATGATTGGCCATATATCTTTCTGATCCTGTCTTGGGATACAGCCCCACCCCTCTGCAATACCCTGAGCAATGTAGAACAGGGTACCTCGCTGTGCCGTGCAAAATATTTAGCATCTCCAAAGTCTCACAGAATTTCACTCGTTGCACTAGAAAAGCGGTGTTTAGGTTAGTATGATATTCTAGGAAATCTTATCTGCGGTCCATATACTAGTAGAGTCGGCCTTCTGAACCGGATGTAACTTAGAAAACCTATACCAAAAGAGGAAGACAGGGCGAAAGATAAAGATTGGAAAGGAAAGATAGAGCTACCGGTAGGGGACACTGGATGATCAGGAAGAATGATAGACGAGGGTAAGCAAACTGTAATTAGCAAAATACTGTGGATAAATTAACACCCTCCATGAAATCATAGGGCAAAGCTAGGTTAACAACTTTACAGAAATGTGAGCCTTGCTTGCTGCCTTTATGCAAAGTATAAAAGTATATTTAGATGAAGTTAGCTGACTTTCCTAACCCTGACAACCGCCATTGACATCCCTACTATTGAGCGGTAACTTATGGTGTACTGTACGGGCAACGGCCCAAGTTGTTGAAGATGTGTTAGCAGAATCTAGGGCATGGGAGTTTTTGTAATGAGGGTAAACTAGACCCTACACAACTGTTTGTTTGTATAATAATTATGATAATTAGGACTAGCAGGCGAGAAATAAAGAGAAACAAAGTTCTGTCATGCTTCCATCTTCGTCATTCAACACCGATGGAAAGCCACTTAGGATTTCCAGCCTTTCCCATCACCCGAAAGGATGGAAGGAAAGTATCAGAAAGGGAATAAGGCCGTGTTTGGCTCGCTTCGATTTGAGATGGTCATGATTGAGATAGCAGGATACTTGGCTTGACAATATTTCCAAATCATGATCTCAAATCATGATTTGGGAAAATTTTAGATTATGAGGGTGGTTTATTAAATTACGGTACAAGGCCTATTGTCATGATGTGGAAGCTAAATAGAATGCATCATATCATAATAATATTATGATATATCGTAGTTTAGGAAAACCACAGTTGATATGCCCTACTTCTTTACTCAACTTCCTAAAATAACCCCAAACCGTGATTTGGAAATTTGAAAGTTTTCGATGGTGTTTGGTGGAGGGCGGTTAGCGAATCGTGATTTCAGATCATGGTCCGAAATCATGATTTCAAATTCCGGCTATCTCAGATCACAGACCAAACAGTCCGTCCGTAAGCTCCCATTCCCCTGAATAATACGGGCACCATCCCTCGCCATTTTTATGGGTACCCCACTGTTCCGGATGGGATCCGTGAAAATTGGGCATCCAGAATAGCGGTTGTGACATATACCATTAACCAGTATCGTATTTCCAATTCTCCTACCGGTAATCAAACTAAGCCGATCATGATCTGGAGTATCGTACAAACCGTAAGTGGATTTCAAGAGTTTCAACGGCGCTCATAGCGGTCAGGGAGCGCCCGAAGACAGGGATTCACTAAACGCCCGGCGAAAAACCCGTGCCTATCCGAGAGCCCATGCAATTCACGACCCCTGCTCTCGGGGGCCGCTTTTCCGCCACCTGTGCAAGGATTCGAAGGCGTTATCTTCGCTTACGCGTGCTAAATTGCTTATTTGACCAGACTTGCGCGATAGCCGATACAATACTGTACAGTAGTAGACGCAATCGGTAAGCTCCCGCCATTCTCGCCAGGGAGGCGCGGCACTTCGATTTATTTTGATGGAGGAGACGAATGAAAGTTGAGAAGGTGATATTTCATGATAAAGCCAAGTCAATATAATGACCCCGTCTACAATTTCAAATTGGCAAGTGCTGTCTCGAGCACTGTGCTCAAGCAGGTCCAAACGTGTGCTCTATCCAACTGCTGCTCTTGGGACCTTGAGAGCTTTTGGCGCCACTTAGTGCCTGCTTGTATCTGAAAATAAGTGCCCGGAAATAGGGGCCGTGAATTGTTGCGGGCGCTCAGATACGCACGGATTGTTTTTTTGCCAAACCTTTCGCCAATCCCCGTTTTCGGGTACCGGTACTTATTTCCTAGGACAAGTGTCGTTCACTTTGCTCTGCCCGCTCGCCTGATTTCCCGCTCCTTGACGGAGGCCTGCCCGCATACATCCCGTCTGTGTTTGGGGATACTACCGTAGTCGATATTCTATACGCTTCCATGGAGGAGGTTTAGAAACTGACAATCAACTCCCCCTTTTCGATGCATCACTGGAGTTGGAGCCTGCGGTCCGGTCGAGTGGGTAGGGTGGGCTCCCCCACGTCCACGTGGGGTAGCTAATTTACCATGTTGATGATACACTTTATAAGCTTAACATTGATTACGAGAACCGCAAGCCACCTGCACATCGATAACTATTCACACAGAAGTGAGCTATTGTACTAGTACTGTACTCGAGTACTCCCCCAAGTCTTTCTAGCTAGGGAGATAGCCGAGACCTTGCACTTGGGTACTTTTACCAAGCAAGAAGCACTCGAGTGTCTCGAAACAGGGATTTAAGGAATATACCGGTAGTCAAGCAGCTTGACTTGTCCCGGGCGAGAGGTAGTTGGGTACGAGTACCTGTACCTGAACACAGGGGGGGCACGTCTTTGTATTGGCTCTCAGATGCAGATATTTTGCTACAAGTACCATACTCGTACAGCACTCGCAGTGGGCAAGAAGTACTTGTACGGCACTCGCAAACATGGATTCACAAAATATATCGCAAAAAATCCGTGCGTAACTGAGCGAGCATCTATGAAAGTTCATGATTCCTTGCTTTTGGGAACACCCCCCCGGCTAAGCGGCACGTGTACTGTACAGTACTCGAGTACTACGGTAGGATTGCAAGAACATGACCTTCTACTCGTATTTGAGTAATGCAGAACAAGAACAGGCGCCAGCCAATTAGCTCACTGAAACTACAGATTCCGAAATGGCATCTACAAGTAAATAGGGTTTGTCGGAGTACCCGTGGGGGTACCCCTTCTACCCGAACACTCGCTGCAAGCGGGCCCTAACTACCGGCACCAGAGTAGATTTTCCCCTTTGCATTGTCCTGTGCCGGAGAATACCAAGTGGTTTCCTTGTGGACCGTGGATTGCATTCGAGTAATGGCTTTTTGTCCACTCTCGTGGGAAGCAATCCACGAAACACTCCTAAAACCTGCTGCGAACAAGGAAGGTCACTTGTCACAGCAACTGCCGGAGCCATCTTGTCGGAAGGAGCGGACCCGCTAGCGCAAGGGGTGGGGGGAGAAGGGATAACCCGGGAAGATGGCTGATCGAAAAAGGGTTGAAGTTGGTCGTAGCTTAATACTCGTACTCGAGTGCATAGCAGGCCGGGGTGTCCCTGTGAATTCTTGGTAAAAAGCAAAACAAACACCCGGAGCGCCCTCTCAAGTCCCTACTTCTACTTCTGTCAAGCAGGTTCCCGTGGGGACAACTGATATGATGCCCGCCAAACCAAGAATACCGTAGGGGAATGTAATGCCCATGGTGGTAGAATGCTACTCGTAGTGGATGTTTTCAGTAGCTCAGCTCCTGTTCGGGGACGGTGAAATCAGGGGTCTACGGATGCTATCATAAACCAATTCTTGTCTTGGCATCACGGGAAACATCACAGTGGATACCGACCGATATCTCGATTAATGTCTACTATGGGTCAGGAGGTTGATCTTTTCCAAGTTTATAATCTTTACCACGCAGGGTTATCACAGCATTTCGGCTTAGGGAGATGCCGCTTCGAATTCAAGCTCTCATTCTTCCAACACCCCACACAGCTCTCTATCTGCTGGTCGATTCGATTCACGAAACTCACGAACCTAATTGAATAGAGTTGGGTTGTCATCATGATCCCGAGTTATTCAACTGAAGCTCTGCCCGGTTCTAAACAATCACCGACAAGTCTTATCCTAAGCACTTCCACAATAAGGTAAGATGTTTGTATATCTTGCTGTGCTATCCCCTTGACTGATGGAATGGTGAAAGGTGTTATGCCATCCCAATAATATTGAATTTGGCACCTTTTCAGTGCCTAAGTCACTATGTTAGTTAATAAGCAACATTTGTTAATTACCACAGATTCGCAGATGTGCAGGCTTTAGACCGTAGCTGATTATTAACTATATGGTTGTAGCTACGCACATTATCGCTGAAGAATACTGAGGCAGCGCCTTAGTCATCTCAGTCTTACACATGGCGAGGACTTGTTCCTTTTTTTTTTTTTTTTTTGTGGAGATGTTTACTTGTGGGGTGGAGGAAGTTAAGGTACTCGTACAGTACAAGCACTCAACATCACATCACTTTTGAAACCTTTTGACTTCCCTTCACTGCCCTTGGCGGGCATCCTATCAGTTTTCCGAAAAAAGGAAAAGAAAAAACCCCCCAATCTATCTCCACCGTACGAGTACAGAGCTCTACCGCACAAGTATCTTGTGCGAAGACCCCGAGCATCAGAGCTCGAATTTGGTATGGGGCCTCGGATGTACAGTACTAGTACTGGCCATACCAATTTTTAATACTTGCGTTCGAGCTGTACGGTAAGGGTGCCGGTCGTGCTTCGTGCCTGGGTACCGGTATCACCTGTACGTAGGGGGTAGGGGAAGTACAGTACTCGAGTGCGGTAATGGCGAATGTGGCTAACAGAATATCTGTGTTTGGCAGCCAAGACTCAGCCATTCTTTTTCCTATCATGTCCGTGGATACAGTAATTTAGACTGCAAGTACAAAGTGCTGGCTCGAGAACTCTCCTCACCCGACAACACCTTTGATGACACAACAGTTTACGCAGGAGTGAAAATTTTCAATGTTTCTGTTCCTGCACTGCCAGCGATGGATACACGTGGTGATTGAAAATTTTACTCCCCCCTCAACCAGAGCTTCCATTCCTCTGTCGGTTATAAATTATTCTCTTTCCTATGTTGGTTCTTTTTTTTTTTTTGGTTTGTTTGTTTGTTTTGTTTAGTTTTCTTTTTCTATTTCCTCGTTTTGCTGTTTGCGGCGACCTTTGGTGAGAGATGAGATACAGTACCGCACACGTAGCCGTATTCGCAATAATTGACAACATTAACTTTTCATAAATGGTGGCAGAAGCCAGCCAAAGCCCTAGAACACACACACCCTGTCCCACCTGTGTGTGACTGTCGAACGGTGTCTTCTTAACCAACAGATCACTTTCGAGTATCCACGGGGGTCTGCCCGCCAGCCCTTGTCCCTTGGGACCCACAGGTTGTTTGGGGGCGTGCCCAATTCGGGGGGGGGGGGGGGGGAAAAGGGA